ACCCTTTGTAAGCTGTTCAAACACAGACATCCTCCTGTCCCAAGAGCTCCTGCAGGGACAGCGGGCACAGCCGGCCACAGGAACAGCTCCTCCTCAGCAAAATGAGATCACACAGGTGCTGGGAGGAAAGAGAGGGTTTTCTTACAGCAGGAAAAAGCAGCCAGACCCTGCCCAGCCTCCTTCCCGCTGGCACTGCCACCTCTGTGCTGTGCATATGGCACCAGGATGGGGTCAGAGGCTTTGGGGTTTGGGGCACAGGCACCACCTACCCCATGCCCACCCCAAACCACAAACATTGCCAGCCCAGCCTGGATGCTCTGGTTTAATTAAATCCTTATCAGTGACCTGTGCTGATGGTGCACGTGGCTCGCCCCACAAAGCACAGGCTGTCACTCCTGTTTCATTAAATGGGAGATATTAAAATGAAGGGGATTTGGAGGGAGATAAATTGCAGACTTATTAAAATAAAGGCATGTTCCAGTAATTTTGTTACTTATTGTTAGTGCAGAATCATAGAATCATTTRAGTTGGAAAAGAGCTTTATGACTGAGTCCAACTGTAAATTTAATGCTGCCAAGGCTACCAGAAGCTCAGGAAAGATGGTGAGGCCCTTCAGCAGCTTCAAGGGGTGCCAACACGCTGGAAATGGGTGCTGTGCCAGGCTGGCAGGTTACAGGGGATGCTATTCCCAGCCCAAAGGTGCTCTATGCTCCCACCAGCACTGTCCATTTATCCTCACACAGCCCAGTGACATGGGCAGGAGCATCACCCACCTTGTACAGGTGGGGAAGAGAGGCAAAGAACATTCCCTTTGTTCAGTTGGAGGAAAGCTTCAGCCCAACCTCCCCAAGCCTTTGCTCAGAAATTCTTCAGTCAAAAGAAAACTTCCTGTTAGATTTTTTCCCTGTACTCRAGGTGACTGGCTCCATTAAAAACAAAAGAAGAAAAAGCCCTAATGTGTGCTAGGGAATAGGCAGTTATTCAGGGAAGCATATGCAGTAAGAGAGAAATTGTGTAAGGAAGGAAAAAAAAACATGAAGAAGAACAATTTGAAGACAGTAGCAAGAATTAAAGTTAGGTCCTAACACAAAACAGCCTGCTACAATATCMGAAAGAAAATGATGTGTGGGATGTTTAAACACAGGATTTGGTGCTGTAACAGCACAGATTGSCCAGCAGCTCCTTTTAAAGGCTGCTGATGAGTGCAGCCCAAGATGGGTGCTGGCTGACCCTTCCAGGAATCCCAGCAATCATCCACAAAACACCCCGGGAGCGGAAATCAAAACTCCACCAACCTCCCAGCAAAGTGAAAACAAACCACAAAAATGAAATAACTCGTAATTAAGAAGAATGAGGAGTTAAGAGAGGCCTGCAGTCCCTCATCAATCTCTCGCTGCCTGGCTCCACCGATGAGCCCCATTGTTAGTTCTGATTGTGCTGCTGGGAGAATAGCTCTCCAGCAAAATTGTGATTTCCTTCTCCCCTCGAGACTCATCAAGGGTGGAGAGGGAGAGAGGGGAGAAGATGGAGACACAAAAAGAAACAAACAGCTAGAACAGGCTTCTCCAAGCCACTCTGCTGGGTTCAAGAAGGAATCACTGAAACTGCTGGTGTGACAAGAATGTGGGCTCAAGAATCACAGATGAAACTGTGCTGTCAGCTTCAAGATGAAACAAGAGCACTCAGGAGAATGAAAGCAATCCCTGCATTAACCATCCTGCTTATTCTGAGGTGTACATCACTCACTATTCAGGTAATTGTACATATTGAATGTAAAACAAGATATTATTATTTATCCACAAATATATCTTAACATTTTTAGAAAATGTACTGGCCTGCTGCTCTCAGTAGTTCCTTGAAGCCATTGGGTCTATCAAATACAAGGATTTCTCTTTTTCTTTTAAACTGATTGACTTCAAATGCTTCGGCTGGGACTGTGTCCTTAGGCACACAAAAAGAAAAAACCCTGCGATTTAATTTCTTTCCACTGTTTGTTCATTTGTACAAGTGTCTCCAAATCATCTCCTCTTCAAATTTGACCAGTCTTTCTGTTTACTGAAGGACTTTCTTTGTCTGAAACAATTGTCATTGCCTTTCTAAAGACCTCATTTCCTYACTCCCATTCAGGACCCAGCCGGAGACAAGGATAAACAGCACAATGTACACCCAGCTCCTCATTCTGAGCTGGAGAAGCTGATCCAGAGGCTCCCTGGCAACRTTTGTTTGTTTTAACAGATTTCTTTAATGTTTTTTTCCAGAGGGAGTCGATGCAGTTCCTGGATATCTGTTTCACATTGGTGAAGCATCAYAGGAATACAAAGCCTGTGCCATGTCCAAAGTCTGGATACATCTCACGGGGCAGCAAAGACCAGAATATCAACCTGTCAAGAACCCCAGGAGCTACAATGCATTACAGCCCACAAAAAAAAATCATCAGAACCTAAACTCCCTCTGAGGAATCTGTAACACCGCTTTCCACAGCGTTTAACTGAAAGAATAAAAAGGAGCAAACAAAAAGCGAACAAAAGGAGCTGTGGAGCCCGAGATGTGCCTCTCTGCCCACGCACTCACAGAGGGGCTGGAAACCACTGGAACATCCTTCAGGCTGATGAGCTCATCTGTTGCACCGATAGGGATCACCAATAAATAAACACCGGGATGGTTTCATTGGAATTCAGTGCTCATTTCTAGATGCAGCCATCGACATTCCCAGCACAGCGCTGTGATTAACCCTTTCACTGGAGCTGTGATCCCAATTAATGCAGGCTGGCTGGACACATGCAGCAGGKAGATAATAAGCTCTGCTATAGTAACAGCACACCTTGGCCAGGAAAASCAAGCACATCTTTCATCTTCATTTAGCTTTGAAGGGGTTACATTACAGGAGCTCTTACTGCATCCCTCGCTTAAAATTAAATGCCACCAGCAGTTCTACTGAAATATGCTTTTAAAGTTTACAGCCAAACTCCAGACGCTTGTAAAGTGCCAAGGGACTTCTCTGGTTTAATTATATAGACCCTGTTCCATAAACTGCTTGAATAGAATAAATACAAATAGCATCCATGCTTTGTGACCTCTCTGGGTTAATGAAATGCACACAAACACCCACAGTCTGCTGTGGCTCAGAAATTCCACAGCATAAACACACAGCCCTGCTGGAAGCTGTAGTCAGGATTCAAGCCTCCATACATACATGAGAAGCAGCTGCCTGGACTCAGCAAGGAAATAATTTGTTGTTTATATTCTACTGTTCAAAGCTGCAGTCGGTGGGAATTGTCCGTGATTTACTGAACAGGGGAAAGAGTCTGAAATTTTCTTGTTCACATTCTTATTARCAAATCTGCATCTCTTGTCCAGAAAGGTGGTCAGAGAGGCTGGGGAATTCCAGGAATCAATAAATGACCCACCCTTGGCTGTAGGAAATGTGAGATTTCCTCTACCTGGTGACACTCACCTCCATCCTTGGGAATAAACGCTCGAGTGAAGAGGAGAAAGCAAGGAGAATGTGTAGAGAGAGAAATCTGTACCTTATTATCCACTCTCCTGCATATAAGTTATTTAAATTGCCATTTTATGAAGAAGAGCTGCCAGCCAGCTCTTGTCCATGTGGCCAGCACACAATTTTCTCACATTCTCTTAACTTTCTCCAAGCATGTCATCTCTCCTGTGGTGCAGAAAAAACCTGCAACTTGTACTGTCCGGCCATGGCATCCAACAGACATCCCCAGCAGTCTGCTGAAGTTATTCATTAAATATTTAACATTACAGGTGTTAGTACAGGTCTCTGGAGATGTTGGAGCAGCACTGCACCATCTCAACAGAGAATTGTTTTTGGGATTCAATGGCAGCACTTTAAAACCAACAGGATTATTCTTTTCCCTATGAACTGGGCTTTCTTTTGTTGCTGCCATGTGCCTCAGTTAGTCCAGAACTAAAGCCAAGCAACATGACCATTTTGGGGATATTTTCCTAGTTTTACTACAGATTGTAGGTGCTGTCTTAAACCCTCACTTCCTTTATTTGTTAGGTTTTCTTTTTTATTTTTCCCCCTGAGGTTCTAAAGGTGCAGAACAGGAATATGTTTGTCCTGTTACAAGGATAAACAATCTTGCATCAATCCACACAGCTGTGGATCTGCAGAAACAGAACATCCCCATTTCCATGTGGAGTTCCCTCCTGTGCTGAACACTCCAAAACCCCTCCTAAAGGGAGTCCTGCCCTAGGGAGGATCAGTGGGAGGCAGGCATGATTTTAAGGATGAGAAGAAATTTCTTCCCCACTGTAAACTTGGGCTGTTGGCACCCGAACCAACGTAAAGACAGCTTGGTGACTTTTAATGTCACACCTCAGCTCYCCTAAACATCAGCCCAACTTTGCCAGCTGCAGGGTAACAGAGAAGAAAAACAGCCCCTCTTTTAAGCCAAAACCTCAGAGCCCACCCAGCCAGACCAGWGAGAACACCCGACAGACAGAAGACAGACTGATACTGCTGCTCGACTGTTCTGCTCGCATAACTGGCACTTCACACACCCCAGGATGAGCTGCTGCTCAAAAGGGATTCCAATTTACATAAAGACAAGATGATGACAAGCAGACAAGCTGGAGGATGGTAAAATAAAAAAACATAGGGACATATATCTCCTAGTGAAGTAATGATGAGCCTTGATGGTTACATAAGGTTTTATTACTGCGGCACATAACTGATAATATAAAAAGGTGAAGCGCCAGGCCAGATGCCTCAGGTATTATGCATATAGAGTCTGTTCTCTTTACTCCAGACTTTGATATATAACTGGGAGACCAGATGTCAAACCTCCTACTTTTTAACAGCAGAAAGGATCTTTATTCCCTCATGAGAAACGCTCTATCTCCCCCCATGAGGAATCCCCACATAGCAGGGGGCAGCGATTTTCTRTTCTAATCATTGAAAAAGAGCAAASACAGATGTTCAAAACCACAAAACCAAAGCAGCAGGTGCAGCCAGGAGTGCACAGCCCTACCTTGAAGAGCAGGCAGTCCCCTTGGTGCTCGGCGTAGATGGAGCTGAGGCGGTACTGGTTCTCKGTGGTGATGTCGATCTGGTACCCGGTCAATGTGTAGCACACCTTGCGGAATTCCTGGATCTTGGTCTGGAAAACTTCCTTCAGACGCTGGTTTTTCAGCTCTGCGCTTTCCACTTGCTTCTTCAGCTCTGTGGAAGGGGAAGGAAAAAGGGTGTTTGCTTATATGTCAACGGTACAGAGCACTTGTGATGCTCTTACAGCGCTGGCCAAACTGGGTGAATTGAAAAGGTTAATTAAAAAGTGAATTAAGTGGGCAGMGTAAAGACACAAGCAAGCTGGATGCCTCTCCTCCCGGCCCCAGCAGACCAAAGGATAGTAAACTGGGGAGTAAGAAAAACACACATGTCTTGGTGGGATGGATTTCTCTTTGCTCAGTCAGACTTTTAACAACACACCACAAAAATTCAGAGCTACAGCATCCACTTCCCCACATGCACACGTCCTGTTTTCCACACGGGACCCCCAGAGAAGGGTGTTCCTCTTCACAAAGCAATAAAGTGGAAAAATGGTCCGAAAAACCTCCGTATGGCTGCATCAGGAGGAAGCTGCCGACAAGGGAAACCTCCTCCAGTGGAGGAGATCTGAGCTAAGTGCCTTCATCTYGAGTTGACACACTGCTTAGGAATCCCTCAAGGTTTGGGAAGGGGCTTTTACTGTGATAAAAAGCCTGGAGAGCACCACTGCCTCTTTGCATTTGCTGCTTTAACTGGACTAGTCCCTATCAGAGAGTCCTGGGAGACTGCCTGCCACTCACCCTGTGTTTTACTGCTACAAARGGAGCTGCCAGAACTGTGAATCCTTCAAGAGGATACACAACAATTACCATGAATCTTTCACCCAAGGTGCCTTCTGAGTAATTAAACCTCGATTTATCATCCCATTAATTACAGAGATTGGCTTTACTTTAATATACACCAGAGATGTCTCCCAAGTCAGCCTGTTTTATCAACACTGCAGTCCAGGGTTAGGAAAAATCCTGATTCTTTCTAACAGCAAACAAATAGACTCCCTCAGTGGAACAGCTCTTTGTCATTCTGAGGTTTAAGGCTTTGTGCTGCCATCAGAGACATAATTGCAGCATTTGTAGCCCATATGTCTTTAGTTTAGCTAGTTCAGGTCCTGCAGCAGGACAGCAGCAACTTCAGGGCAAGGTGACTGCTGGAATATGAGGAATGATTTTGGCTGGGTTTRTGGAGCCCATACTGAAACATTATCACTTCCCAAGTGAGCTGGAAATTTTTTTTGCTTGAGTATTTGCTGGAAAGGGTTTTCATTGGCCTCCCAGGCACGGTGCAGGGAGGATGTAGGATGGAAACAGCAAGGGCTTGCCAGTGATTCACCTCTGAGCAGCTGCAGCACACCAGGAGAATGGCAGCCACCTCTGATCCCCTTTAGCTGGGCACTCTGGGTGGGACAAAAGGATAATTCAATGTGTTAAGCTAAAGTGCCTTAAATGCCACTGAGGATGCCTCTGCTCWGAAGTATTTTGGCCTTAATCCAACTCAGTTCAATCCCCAGGCAAGGACAGGAACTCTTTAATGGTTAAAGAGAACTCTGTGTCCCTTTATTTCTGAGTGAGAGCATCCACACAGTGGGGGTTAAGGCTGGCCAGATCCTAACTTAACTCATCCAGCTCCACCTCCCTGAGCAGCTTTGGGTGGTGATGCACAAATAAACCATTCCTTTACCCTGGGCCTCCCCTCATCTTGCTTTATGAAGGGGAGTAAGCCAGGAATGGGGAGCACCAGCTGGTGCATTAAAACCACATAAAACAGGGAACCCCCAACTCCAGGGGGATGTAAAGTAAGCCTTATACACTTTCTCTTCTCATGAGCTCAAAAAGGCTCTGTCTTTGCTGAACCCCAACTTTCCCCCTCACAGCAACTCATCAGTGTGTGATTAACTCAACCCTTMTCTGGATTGTTACACCCCTTTCTCCATCATCTAGGCTGGGACTGATCTTTAATTAATCAAGGAATCAGTCTCAGAAATTGAGAGGTTAACAGGCAGCTCTTACCTGGATATTCTCAGTTTTCATTCAGCCATGCAACTGTTAAGCACAAAATCCTATATATGAAAGTAAAAATTCAGTGACCACACTGCAGTGGTAAATAACATTTCGTCACTGTCAGAGACAGCACTGCCTTTAATATATTGCCCATGTCCAACAGCAATATTTTTTTTTCCTAATAAATGCAGCCTAGCCTTGGAAAAGTAAATCTGCCTCTCCCTACCGCATCTCAGAGGTTGCCTWTCCCAACTTTTATAACCTTGGAGGTGGATGGCACCCTAATTCATTAACTCCTCCAACAGCTTTCGTTATTCATGAAGAGTTAGTGCCTTTGCCACTGTTTTGTTTCTCAGACTATGTCATGCCAGTGGCCACCATGAGCATCCTCACCCTCCTGGGCTGCAACCTCATCCTAAAAACAACCCTCTGACCCTGCAACTGCTTCTCTCCACTGCCCTCAGGGTGAAAAAGGAAAAATTGTGACACAGAACAGGGGACAGGAGATGCAGAGGCCATGGATGGGGAAAGCCACACCACAAACATCCTTCATCCCAAAAAAGGGATGACAAAGCACCTCCAGGTTAATTAACAGAATAAAAACTGAGAAAATAAGCATGAGGTTTGGCATGCCATGCCTTGGTTGGGGATTACAACCAGCCTGAAAAAAAATAAAATAAAGGAGAACAGAGAGAACAGGAAAATACATAGAAATACTGTCCCATCTCCTTTGTATTCAGGTSGAGAGTATGTACAAAAAGTTGCCTGTCCTGAAGATTTTGATGTGGAAAAAAAAAATCCTCACTGAAAAAAAATCATTAATCTGTTGGAAAATTAATATTGCCAAATGATTAATTCCTCCTAATGATGCTACTTCTTGAAACACCTTGTATTTTCACACGCTTACATCGACTTTAATGAATAATTCAAACTATTTTGGATAAATAAATAAAATATGAGTTGGGCTTTTTTTGGTCTCATATTGAAAATGTCAATGCTTTTTATTCCATTGCTTTGACACTCCTTACATCTGAAAGTGTTCAGAGCAGCCTGGAAATACCACAGCTCTGGCTCTTGCTCCGAGTTCAGCCGGGTCAGTCAGTAACAATAGCAGCCTCTACACCAAAGAAAACCAAATTCACGCTTAACCTTTTCCCCTAGGGGAAAAAGGAGGAAACAATGTGGCTCTGAGCATGCCAAAAGCGGCATGAAATCAAACGTATCACYAGTCTTTTCCAGGAAAATACCGATTTGTTCTGCCCATCCTCAAAGATGCCACGAGCCATGTAGCTGCATTAATTCAGCTGCGATCCCAGYTAATATACATCTCTCTGTCACAAAGGCCTGCAGCCCTTTCCAATTCCCCTTTAAAGGTTATTCCCCCTCAATGCCACGTTTGGGGGTCACTCACTCCAACACACACGAGGATAAAGCATTTGCACATCAATTCCTGTCCCTGCTAGGAGCCCAAAGGCAGATCCCACCCAGCAGTGCCATGGAAGATGCTGCATTTTCACCAACTCTTCTTTACTTGAACAAGAGATTACTTAAATTTTGTTCCCAGCTTACAGAAGGGGTGCCACACAGGGAAGGGATGCCTTAATGGGAAGAGGAAACTTTATTTCCTCAGTTCCAAGCAAAAAGGGCACAATTCCCTTTGTTCTCCCCCATCTACACAAGCTGTTACCATACAATAGCACCCCTGAATCACCCCCCAAAATTATACTGAATTACACCATCCACTGCACTTCTGTCCTTCCCTTTTGGTTCTCTGCCCCTGGGACCCCTCCAGTCATTCCCCTGCTCAAACCCTGAGCTGAAATTTTTCTTTGCCAGCCCTCGGTTTACGAGGAGCAGCGTCTGCAAAGAGTTCTGCGATATTCTGTGAAGGGCACAACATAAAAATAAATTGTATCGTGTTAAATAAAGGCTAATAGGAGAAGAGCTGAACATTTTCTGATGCAGGCAAAGTTTACGAGCGTTGCTTTTGAGAAATAAAATTCGCTTTGGTAGATTTTATAGGTGTTTTTTATGCCCTGGGGGAGCAGGACCATGCAGCCCCACACCACCCCTACCTGACCTTACAGTCTGGCAGCCTCACACTGTGCTCTGCACAACTTGAAATTTGTGACATTACAGCCATGAATTATAACTTTTCTTGAAGGTAAAAAAACAGTTTTATATTCAACAGACTGTGCTGGCTGTTCAGTTTGAAACCTAAGTGGTATTTATTTGATCAGTCAACATTGGTTTATTTTTAAACYGTGTATGTACCATATGGTTCAATGCATCTCCCAGCCCTCTCCTCCAGCCACCAGCTCGCCCTTCCAGCAGCTCTGGGGAGATTTTTCAAAGGCAGCAGAGCACAAGTAAAGGTCTCCACCACCATGATGAGATGCAGCTCTTGTGCTGCTCGAGAACTCACCATTATAAAAAAAAATTCCCAGATGTTTCTCCTGAAGGCCCCATTTCAGACAGCCCACGTACCTTTACAAAGGTATCATTTCTTRGAAAGAAGTCCACAATTAATTATCCTCAGAAAAGCTGCAGAAGGYAGCAGGGGACACTGGAAAAGTGAGGTGAGAGCAGCAGGACACTGAGGATGAGAGGAAACTAAGAAAGCATGAACTCTCCTGAATACCTACAAACACACAGAACATTGGTCAGGACCAAGCAAAGAGGGATTTTCTTTCCTTCTTTTGATAATGCTGAGATGATGGCAAAGTTGCAAAACTCACAGGCACACCTGAAGCTGGCCATGAACCACCAGGGAGCAAAGGCTCCCCAGGAAACACCAGTGAGGCACTGCTTGGAGATTTCCCCATCCTTCTCCCTGCTGGCAGAGCTGTTTTGGAGGGGGAAGGCACAAAACAAGCAGGTTTTTGGAAGCTCAGCACAGCTCCTCAGCCACCCTGCAGCTGTTCACAGTGATGTGTAAAGAGACCCCGAGTGCCTCTAAAATCTGTGGCTGAAATGAAGTGAASAGCAATGCAGAGCTTGGTGGGGATGGCAACACACACCCCAAACACGGGATAAATTAACCTCAGGAGAACTATTTATTGCCCAGGATGGACTCCATCAATTAGCACGATATGGCACAAACAGTTTGGAAATTAGGAC